GTGTGCAAAACACACTCATCAAGTATTAAATCTTGTAAAGGTAATTTTAGTTTTTTGGTATATGAAATTCTCTTTCTCCACAGAGATCTTTTGTTCTTGTGTAATCCATTATTTTTCATATTACTCTTATTTTCTCGCCTTTATTATTTGGCCCGATTCTCAACAAATTGGTATCAGAGTGATTCTAGTATCTTATTTGTTTCTAACAATTAGTATCAGAGTCAATATTTTTTGGCAATTTCTTGGGAGGTTCAAATTGGTTACTAAAGCGAGATTTGAACAATGTCTACTATTTCAGCAATGACAACTATAAAATTTGAAATTTCGCTTTTGGATCGCAATAGTAGATTTTCTTTGTGGCAGATCAAGATGCAAGCAATTCTTGCTCAATTGGACTTGGATGATGCTATGTTGGAGTGGATAGAATGTCCGCAACAATGATTGCAAAGGAGAAACAATGCAAAGATCGGAAAGCCCTATTACAGATATATCTTCATCTTTTTAATCAAATTATTCAAGACTTGGTAAAGGAGAAAAGCGCCACTAGATTGTGGTTGAAATTAGAGCTGTTTTTATGACAAAGAGTTTGACCAGTAAGTTACACTTGAAGCAGTGTTTGTATTATCATCGGTTGACGAAGGTAAACATTTGGTCGTCAGGTCTGAGACCCATGCAGAGGGTCTTGTTATTTGTAAGAGGAAGGCATGTGGTCATGGAAATGGCAGATTCAAGGATAGCAAAAGTAATAAAATCTGTTGGTATTGCAACAACAAGGACCACATGAAGAATGATTGCTATAAGTTGGTGAACGTGAATAGGTTTGCTACAATAGATTAGGAGGGACAACCAAGAAATTTATGTGATGCTAATCTTGCAAAAGAAGATTACAGTGATGGAGATCTTTTGTCAATTTCTGACGGTGACTCCAAACCTGACGAAAATTGGATTCTTGACACAGCTTACACTTTTCATATGTGTTCAAACCGAGATTGGTTTTCTTCATATAAAACAATTACAAGAGGTTTCGTGGTAATGAGATATAATAAGTTTTGTGAAGTAGCTAGTATTGGTAAGATCATAACCAAGATGTTTGATGGGATGGTCATGACACTTGGTTTAGTGAGACATGTTCTAAGTTTAAATAGAAATATTATCTCCTTAAGTACTCTTGATTAAAAATGGTACAGGTATACCGATGGAGGTGGACTTTTGAAAGTTAGCAAATGTGTCAGTGTCGTGTTAAAGGGGCGGAGAAAGTCCCGGTTATATATTTTGGAATGTTCGACTATCACTATGGAAGCAGCTGCAACTTATGGTTTGATAAACAGTAACTTAGGTAGAGTTAGTTGTTATCGGGTTGCTCGTGACGATTCAAGCAATTATATTGAGGAATCTTCCAGTAGCTCAGGTGTAGCTAAT